AATATTTTCTAAAGTTTGGGAATATATATTTTTTGTAGAAAATTCATAATTTTTTTTATTTTTTATATGAATTTTGCTTTTTACATGTGAAGAAATACTAACTTTATATTTCCAACTAACAGAATACTCATAAAATCTACATATAAGAGAGTTATTAAGAACATTAAAAGTATTTAAAAATTCTTTTTGATGAGTATATGTGATTCATTTTAATTTATGTAACATATTTGTAAAAGATAAAAAAAAGATAGATTAAGATCTTTTTTATAATCAATAGCCAATTATATTTTTTTTTTGATTTGATTTATTTAGCTAATAATATTCTTTTCATATGAGATATCATAAAAAAAAATTTATTTTAAAAATTTTTGATTTAAACCAAATCTTTTGATTTATTTTAAAAAATTATTTAAAAATTTTACAGGTTTCTGAATAATATACATTAACTAATTATAATTAAATAAAATTTTTATTTATATAAAATTTTAGTTTAAATTATAACAAAAAAATTTATTTATTTTTATTTAAAATAAATATTTTATTATCAATCAGAGAAAATATTTGACATAAATAAATTTCATATTAATAAAATTTTTATATAAATATATTTAAATACTTTATCTTATATTTAATATATCAAAATTTTAATATATTAATTTCTACTAAATTAGAAATAAGATAGATAATTATATATTTTATTTTATTTAATTATCATTTTTTATTTTAATATATTTTTTTTTATATGTTTCATATAAAATATATTTTAAAAATAAGTTTTTTTTAAAATTCTTTCAATTATAAAAGTAAATAGGTTTTCTTAAATGTAGAAATAACTTATAAGTTATCATTTTTTTAAGAATAAAAAAGTAATTATTCAGTTAGTTTTATTAAAAATTAAAGAATTTAATTTTTTTGTTATTTAATACTATTGATTTTAAGTTATCATAAAAAATTACTATTTATTTAATATTATTATTAGAAAATTAATCATTTTCTTAATAAAAAATTATTTTTCAAAATATTAATTATTGTATTTTTCTTATTTCTACTTTTGTTTTCTTTTTATAATTATATATACAGTCAGACCCCATACAGTCACCTCCTATATAGTCACACCTCTTTATAAGCATCCATTTTTATATGATGGAATTTAATATTATTAAATTACCTCTATACAGTCACAAATTGGCTATAGTCACTATCACCTTATACTTATAATGTATATATCATTTTTGTTAATAATTAGACCTCTTTATAATCACAAATTTCTGATTAGCTTATATCAAAGAAATTTAATTGGTTGATCTCATAAAATGTAGCACAGAAAATTATAACAAGTAAAAATTTAATACGTAAAAATGTAATACGCACTTAAAAATGATAACAGTAAAATAAAATAAAGCTTGAAAAATAGAACAATAATTTGTAACACTTGGAAAAATAGAACAATTTTCTTGAATTTTCATTTTTCGCGTTCGTTTCATGATGGTAGATTTTCGCATCAAATAATAGCTATAATGTTACAAACTCTAAACTGTTATTATAGCTTTATCATTAAAAAGCTTCTTCAAAAACCCTCTTTTAAAACAATTCTCAAATAACCTTAGTTTTTTCTGTCTTCTTTGTTTAATTAGTTTTTTATAATGTCTGACAGACCCAAACAGCATCGCTCAGCTATAAGTATTAACTTCAAACAACAAATTTGTGAATAGGCAGATATTAAGGAGTCAAGTTTCCAGAACTTGATCGTGCTATGAATTTATGGGTAGAAAATATAACAGCAAATGGGATCATCCTAACAGATTTATTAATAAAAGAAAATGCAAGATTTTTTGCTAATACACTTAATATACAAGAAAATGAGTGTGTGTTTTCTAATGGTTGGCTATATAAGTTCAAGAAATGTAATAACATTCATAAGTATCATATGTACGGAGAGTCAAAAAGCGCATTATTAGTATCACTTCTAGAGGAACGAGCAAAATTACAATTAATTTTAGGTCGATATACTCTTGATAGAATTTATAACATTGATGAAACAGTAAGTTTTTAAAAAAAGTTTTATATTTTATTTATATTATTATTCTTCTAAAACTAATATTTAATTTACTTACTAAAAAGGGTCTTTTCTATTGAATGCCTCCTAGTCAAACTCTTTCTACTAAACCTGTTCCTAGTCGAAAAAAAGATAAGTCAAGAATCACTGTACTTCTTAGTATTAATGCAACCAGAACAGATAAACTCAAACCATGGATAATTGGTAATGTAAAACGTTCAGGATCACTTTTGAAGGTTAATTTAGGGTCTCTTCCAGTTTACTATTGTGGAAATCTGAAAGCATAGATAAATTCTTTGGTTTTTGAAGAGGTGTTTTGTGAAATGGATAATTATTTTAGGATACAAGACAAAAAGATTTTACTTTTGATTGATAATGCTCCATCATATTTCAATCCATATAGTTTATCAACTTTAGGAATTGAACAAGACAATCAAGATGAAGATAATAATGGTGAAATTGAATTTGCAGCTAGTGGTTCAAGCAGTCACAATGGTCGTGGTGGTAGATTAAGAGGTTGTGATAGTCATGGTAGTCATCGTGGTAGTGGATCAAGAGGTCATAGTAGTCATGGTGGTAGATCAAAATGTCGTGATGGTCATGGTGGTGGATCAAAAGGTCGTGATAGTCATAATGGTAGATCAAAAGGTCATGGTGGTCATAATGGTAGATCAAATATTTTCTAGCAACTAACTCATATTAAAGTTATTTTTTTACTTCCAAACACTACAAGTCATCTTCAACCACTCGACGCCAGAATTATTACAAATTTCAAGAGTTATTTTAAAAGAAAATACTGTCATCATATGCTAGATCTTTTTGAAGATAGAAAAGACATTAATAAGGAGAAAATTAGTATTAAAGAAGCAATAAATTATATTGCAGAAGTATGAGGTTGTGTAACTGAAGAAACAATTCAGAATTGTTGGAAAGAAACCAGAATTCTTCCTTTTTTGATTGATGAAGATATGGATGATGCGATACAAATTCAACAAGAAGAAGAAGTGGATATTAATCAAATAATTGAAGAACTCGATATGAATGATCCTTTTGCAGCTTTATTGGCAGATACATTGAATGATTTCTTTAATGACTTGGAGGGAATTCCAACTGAAGATATTTTGGATAAAAATGATATTATAAAACTTGTTAAAGAGGAAATGCATAATGAAAGTAATGAAAATAGTGATTCTGAAGAAGAACAAATGCCAGTATCTTTAAGCGATGCTTTCAAGTCTTTACAAACATGGATTACATTTTTTGAGCAATAGCAAATAGATGAATTTTGTGTAGTAGATATAAAGATCTTTAACAAATATTTTAAAATAATCAAATGACTTGAACTATAATCTTGAAAACAAGTTTCAATTACAGATTTTTTTAGCAGTTGATTAATATATAATTTACATAGCATTTGTTATAATATTACATAGCATTTAAATTTACATTTAATAAAAGTATTCTAAAAATTCACCATTGTTACATTTAATAAGTATTCTAAAAATTAACTATTGTTGAATTTTTCAAGTATTTAAAAATTAGGTAATAGGAATTGTTATTAAATTCTGAAGTGTGATACAGATTTTTTACATAGTCACTGCACATAATTTTTTAATATGATTGTGATTGTATAGGGGTTACCCTTTTACAGTCACACCTCTATATAATTACTAGTTTTGAGAGACTGATTAGGTAACTATATGGGTCTGACTATATATTTATAAAATTAATTTAAAAAAAAAGATTTAATAATTTACCGCCATAGTGAAATACCACACCCTATCACGTGATTTAATGGTAAATTTTGATTGGTCGAATTTTATATCATTAAACGCTTAATCTTTCACGCTTTACGCATTATGGCTTTAGCTTTTTTAACTTTACGAATAGTGGTTCAATATATTAGTTTTTTCTTGAGAACATTTTTTTTTAAAAAAAAATTTTAAACTAATCATCAACTAGAACTTTATATTGCAAACTGCCTCTTACTGTAAAGCCCGGAGACCTGTTCCTGGGTTGAATAGATTGAAAAATGGAAGGCAGAAGGTGGCGAGTATCAATTTTTTTAAAAAAACTTTGAAATCAAAGAAGAGTAAAGAATACTTTCCTATCGTAGAAGCCCAGAGACCTGTTCTTGAGTTGAATAGATTGAAAGATGGAAGACAGAAGCAGTGAGTATTCAATTTTTTTAAAAAAAATTGAAATCAAAGAAAAGCAAAGAAACTAACTTACCTTCCTATTATATAAGCCCAGTTTAAATACCATACTAAAGACTGGGACAAATTTTGTTGAATATAACTTATTTTATTTTAATTATTATTTAAGTATAATTTATTAACGTAGTTTGATTTATTATATTTAAATGATTTGTTATTTAAATCTTATTAATTAGTTTTGTATAATTTGTTTAAGAGATTTGATTAGTTAGTTGTTAAAGAATTGAAAATATATAAGTGGCCAGAATTTGAATATTATGTAAAGCAGCTCTTGATTTAAGAGTTCACAAAATGATAATAAATATAAAGTATCTTTGATTTAAGATACCTTTACC